GAAACAAGTTAGGTGCCCTTGGAGCGCGGTGGAATTAGGGAGAATCATGAGACAATTCTTCAAAAATGAGGCCCATTCCTCCCATCCGCCACGGTGGGACGAACAGTAAGGGACGATCCCAGTAGCAAGTCCAGCGACTCTGAGCTCATTGTTGACCGTGCCACTTTCCTGACTCAGTGGCTATGGTAAGAAGAAGACAGATTAACCGACATACGCTCCCGGTATCCCTCCATGGAAGTCGATCTGGAATACATCGGGTGTGGAGGCAAAAGCGATTCCGCTTATCTTTGGTTATTATTACTGGGCAGAGATAAGACGTGACAAAAGGCTGGCTTACCTCTCGTAGTTTCCGCGGAAATAGAAAGGGAGATCGCTTCCGTCCTTATCAGTTCATTTCTTGGTGCAGAGAGCCATACTCTATCCCTATTGCACAGTCACTCCATGATTGTGTTATGTTTGTATGGCTTGACTCTCCGCGAATATCGGCGATTAGACTCGAACATGGGTGGATACAATCGTAGCAGGGTTCGTCGATGACAATAGATTATTAGCAGAAATAAAACGCACCTGACTGGTCGCCTTTTCGTGGATGCCAGCTCGGCGAAGATCTGTAGATTGTATATGAGCAGTGAAGTCCTCAGCCAGCCCTAGAAAGCGATAGAGAGGAGAGTTCATCCTGGTAATGACTTGTGGTCAATACTGGCATTGAGGCTTAGTCAATAGTCACGATGCCGTTGATCGACGGCTCAAGAAACAACGACGCTGTCCACAGCAGTATCAGCAACGGCATATCCCATGCGAGAGTCGAACCTGTCGGAGATCTAGATTATCGTCACAATGACCCGAACCGACGGCAAAAGATTGTGGTCGTCGGGTTGGGCATGGTAGCGATCTCATTCATGTATGTTGCCAGCTCGATGGGTAAGGAACGATCTCGAGAAGAGTCGTCTACTAACTACCGATACCATCAAATAGTGAGAAAATTGTCAAACAAGATGCAGAGAGACGCAAGTACGACATTGTTGTGATTGGGGAGGAGGCTCACATTGCCTATAATCGTGTCGGGCTTTCCTCATTTTTTGAACATCGAAAAATCGAGGATTTGTACCTCAATCCCAAGGAATGGGTAAGTACTTAACGATCAAATATCCAGACCTTCCATCCAGCTGATACTAAGCTTCCTCTCTTCTACATAGTACCGGTCGTTCAAGGACCGGTCATTCGACTATCACCTCAACACCAAAGTCACCGACATCTTCCCTGACCACAAGACCGTCAGGACTTCAACTGGCGACACCATCCCCTATGATATTCTGGTCCTCGCTACAGGCTCAGATGCAGTACTCCCCACACACACTCCTGGCTATGATGCCAAGGGTATCTTTGTTTACAGAACAATCCAAGACCTAGAACGTCTCATCGAGTTCGCTTCGGAACACAAGGGTGAAACCGCGGTCACTGTAGGGGGAGGCTTGCTGGGCCTGGAAGCAGCCAAAGCAATGACAGATCTCGAGGATTTTGGGAAAGTCAAACTCATTGACCGCAACAAGTGGGTTCTGGCACGGCAGCTCGACGGCGATGCCGGCACGTTGGTAACCCGAAAGATAAGAGAGCTCGGCCTGGACGTATTACACGAGAAGCGGGTCGCGAAGATCAAAACTGATGACGACAATAATGCGACTGGCATCATCTTTGAAGACGGTGAAGAGATTGACTGCTGCTGCATTTGTTTTGCTGTAAGTCTCTATTGAAGAGCGCCATCAATACTCTGCTAAACTTGCCTCTAGATTGGAGTGCGACCTAGAGATGAGCTGGGACCTCCTGCCGGCATTCAGTGCGCTGGACGGGGAGGTTTTGTTATTAATGAAAGGTCAGTAACATATTGTTCTTTCAGATATCTATTGCGTATTGACTTGATTAGTTTACAAACTTCCATTCCCGGGATCTATGCCATTGGCGAATGTGCTAGTTGGGAGAACCAGACGTTCGGAATTATCGGACCTGGAATCGAAATGGCCGATGTGCTTTCTTTCAACTTGACCAATCCCGATAAAGAGCCAAAAAGGTTCAAGCACCCCGATCTGAGCACAAAGCTAAAACTTCTTGGTGTTGACGTGGCCAGCTTTGGAGACTTCTTCGCCGACAGAGATGGGCCTAAATTCCTTCCGGGGCGACGGCCGTCGATTGTCGATGGATCGGTGAGGAGCTCTGATGGCGACAAAGAACCAAATGTCAAAGCATTGACATACAAGGATCCCTTCGCCGGAGTTTACAAGAAGTACTTGTTCACTATGGATGGGAAGTACTTGCTTGGAGGTATGATGATTGGCGACACCAAGGACTATGTGAAATTGAACCAGATGGTCAAGAGCCAGAGGCCTCTCGAAGTACCTCCCAGTCAGTTTATCCTTGGAGCCCAGAAGGACGGCGAAGAGAATGCAGATGATTTGTAAGTCATGCGCTGGCATGCTGGACAGGACTAGGCACTAACACGACACCACAGAGACGACGACGCCCAGATCTGCTCGTGCCACAATGTCACAAAAGGGGACATCGTCGAAAATGTCAAGAGTGGCACATGCAAGTCTATTGGCGAGATTAAGTCGTGCACGAAAGCAGGGAGTGGTTGTGGTGGCTGTATGCCTTTGGTGCAGTCGATCTTCAACAAGGCCATGCTGGACATGGGTCAAGAAGTATCGAACCATCGTATGTGTCTGACCCAATGACTTCATTGACTAGCTCTAACCAAGATATAGTCTGCATGCACATCCCATATTCACGGGCCGATCTCTATACTGTAATCGCTGTCAAGAGACTGAAAACATTCGTCGATGTCATGCAGGCCGTGGGAAGGAAGCCGGACTCTCTTGGCTGCGAGATTTGCAAACCTGCCATTGCATCCATTCTTTCGAGTTTGTTCAACCAGCACATCATGGACAAGGAGCTTCATGACCTTCAAGAGACAAATGACCGATTCCTTGCCAACATCCAGAGAAACGGAACGTTCTCTGTGGTTCCGCGAGTCCCTGGTGGTGAGATCACTGCGGATAAGCTGATCGCCATTGGTCAAGTGGCGAAGAAATATGACCTCTACTGCAAGATTACAGGAGGTCAGCGTATTGACTTGTTTGGTGCCAAGAAGCAAGATCTACTTGACATCTGGACGGAGCTCGTGGATGCGGGAATGGAGAGCGGTCATGCTTATGCCAAGTCGCTCCGAACAATCAAGGTACTGCCACGCGTTTAAGTTTAAGTTTCCTAGCTGACGTATTCTATCAGAGCTGTGTCGGAACTACATGGTGCCGATTCGGTATCGGCGACAGTGTTGGAATGGCGATTCGACTGGAGGAGCGGTACAAGAGTATTCGGTCACCTCACAAGCTCAAAGGAGCGGTATCTGGTTGTGTCAGAGAGTGTGCCGAGGCTCAGAACAAGGAGTAAGTACAAGGTCATTTATAGAGTCTAGAGGTACATGCAGCTAATTTCTGGTCAGTTTTGGATTGATTGCAACCGAAAAAGGATTTAACATTTTCGTTGGTGGCAATGGAGGCGCCAAACCTCGGCATTCCGAATTACTTGCGAAAGATGTGCCTCCTGAGAAAGTCATTCCTATCATTGATCGATATCTCATCTTCTATATCAGAACGGCAGACAAACTGCAGCGGACTGCCCGGTGGATTGAGAACCTCCCCGGGGGTATCAACTATCTCCGCGAGGTGATCATCGATGACAAGTTGGGGATTGGAGCTGAGATGGAACAACAGATGGAAGAATTGGTGAACAGCTACTTTTGCGAGTGGACTGAGACAGTCCGCAATCCTAAGCGACGCAAATACTTTCAACAGTTCGCCAACAGCAACGAGACTGTCGACACGGTTGAGGTCATCAAAGAACGTGAACAGCAGCGACCCGCATACTGGCCCAAGGACTCTGCAAACGAGGACTTCAAGGGTCACCAGTGGTCGACTCTGTCATGGCAGCCTGTCATCGAAGCCAATTACTTTTCAGATGAACACCCGCAAATTTCCTCGGCTAACATCAAGCGCGGGGATACTCAGTTGGCCATCTTCAAGGTTAAGGGCAAGTACTACGCCACGCAACAAATGTGCCCACATAAACGCGCCTTCGTCCTGTCTGACGGTCTGATTGGCGATGACGATGCGGGTAAATATTGGGTCTCTTGCCCTTACCACAAACGCAACTTTGAGCTCAACGGTGAGCAGGCAGGGCGATGCTCGAATGACGAGAGCATGAACATCGCGACCTTCCCTGTTGAGGAACGCGACGACGGCTGGGTGTATATGAAGCTGCCGCCCGTCGAGGAACTGGATTCGGTTCTGGGAACTGAGAAATGGAAAGTGAAGAAGGGGGAAGCACCTGACCCATTCCAGAAGGTCGACAAGAGGTACAAGGGCATGAGGGGCAAGAAGGCGTGTGATATCAATACGCAAGCGCCGACAACACAGGCGGCAAATATCATCGATTGGTAGCATAACCATGGCATACAGAATGAGGCGTACCGGTTGTCATTATCATGGGGTCCTTTTCACTTGCTATGTTTGCATGTATTACAACTAGAATCTGAGGACCTGTGAAATTGACGCCGAAAATGACCGCTTTGGAGGCCAGAAACTGCAAAGGAGTGGATGAAGCGCTAAGAAAAACGAGCTTTTGCACCACTCGTACTTTGTCACATCAGGGCACAGCATGCTTTCATATCAGAGGATTACGCTAATGCATTGACGGTCACATCATGCCATGGAGCCTCTTTTACTCGTACTCAAACTCTCTTGGACGAGGTATTCCGACAGGGTTCCCCGCTCGGTTCATGCAGTTGTCGGTCTCGAAGGATCGCATTGTACTTTTTTTTTTTGAGTTTCCACTACATGGCTGCTGGCACCAGCACGAATTCATGCTTATCATATTCTACCTTGTCCGTGTGATCTGTTTCATTGTCTCCCCTGACCGTCAACCCATCAACCCCATCGACAGAATTCAGCATGGAGAGGAAACCCTCATCACCAATGGCACCCACATTCGTGGTGTCTGCACCAGGAAAGGCCATTGTCTTCGGTGAACATGCTGCAGTGTATGGGAAGCCCGCAATTGCTGCAGCTATTTCTCTCCGATCCTATCTCCTCGTCACTACCCTCTCCAAATCTCGACGTACCGTCCAACTGAATTTCAGGGACATTGGCTTAAACCATACTTGGGAAATCGACACTCTGCCATGGAATGTCTTCCACCAACCCTCCAAGAAAAGGTTCTATCACTCTGTTGTCGACTCCCTTGACTCCGAATTTCTCGAGGCCATCATGCCACATGCAGAGGCCGTGTCCAAGCACCTTCCAGAGAAGCAACGAAAAATTCACATAAAATCTGCAACCGCCTTCCTCTATCTCTTCCTCTCCCTAGGCTCCTCGAAAAGCCCTGGATTCGTCTACACTCTTCGATCTACCATTCCAATTGGCGCCGGTCTAGGCAGCAGCGCCAGTGTTTGCGTTTGCTTGAGCACAGCGCTGCTCCTTCAGATACGCGCACTTGCTGGACCCCATCCTGACCAGCCTCTTCAGGAAGCAGAGATGCAGATTGAACACATTAATCGCTGGGCGTTCGTGGGCGAGCTGTGTATACATGGAGACCCGAGTGGGATAGATAATACGGTTTCGGCGGGTGGAAAGGCTGTGATGTTTCAACGAAACGCCTCTGGACCACCATCTGTCATTCGTCTCACCAAGTTTCCGAGACTACCACTCCTTCTGGTCGACACTCAACAATCACGGTCCACCGCTATACAGGTGGAAAAGGTGAAAACACTAAAAAGCAAGTACCCTGAAATAACAGAGATGATCTTGGACGGAATTGGCAAACTTGCAACTTCTGCACTGGAGCTGATTTCATCGGTTGATCCCCCTGGTAGTGTCACCTCGGATACTCTCGGACGCTTGGGAGATTTTATTGGCATCAACCACGGGTTCTTGGTTTCGTTAGGAGTCTCTCATCCCCGTCTAGAACGTATTCGCGAGCTCGTGGATTATGCGCATATTGGCTGGACAAAACTCACCGGTGCTGGAGGTGGTGGATGTGCTATCACGCTCTTCCGACCAGATATCGAAGATCACACTATTGAAGAGCTGGAGCGGAAGTTCGCTGCCGAAGGGTTTCAAAAATATGAGACTATCCTAGGTGCCGACGGAGTTGGGGTGCTGTGGCCTGCCGTATTCCGAAATGGCACTGATGGAAAGGCTGGCGAAGAGATTGATCAGGAGATGTTTGAGAATGCTGACGGCGTTCAAGGCATCGACCAGTTGGTTGGAGTAGGAGTACAAGAGAATCGGGAAGGCTGGCAGTTTTGGACGCGAGATGTTTCTTCAAGATGAAGCATTACTCTATGCTCTCGACTCTTTGCACCGTCACAACTTCCAATCACCAATCACCCCTCGATCTTCATCACACTCGTTTCTTTGATGGATTGACTAAAAAGAAATCAATAGTGACTAGTTGCTATACTTGCATCAGGTCACCGTCCTGGCGTCACGATCTAGGTCAAAATTGAGGGCACCATGATGCCAGCGGCACCGTTCTCTGCCTCCGACACTGTTTGCCTGTCCGCAATTCTTTGGGTGACAAGCGCGTCGCCAACAATTGAAGATTGGGGAGGGAAAGGCAAATGATGAAAAAGTGAAGGTCGAGAATATCGGTCTTTTATGTTTGGGCGAGCAAGGCAGAGGTTACATGACGGTGTATTGGGGGCGCTAAACCGGAAGCGGCAAAACTAACCACGAAAGGCAATTCACAGCCTCGAGTATACAATATAGTTGATTATGATCGGAAACATTATGTATGCCATCCTTGGCAAAAGTCGCATATTCTGTTCCATGGAGAGTTAAATCCCACAATATATCAGTGCATATCGAAAATGCCTCATCCAAAAAAAGATGACTGCTGTAGGAAAGGGTATGTTGGCGCCTGGGGGACTGAGGCAGGAATGATATCAGCATTAGGGTAACACCAATCACGTGCAACAACCATTATTGGTTCACCAACTGATCGTTTCTTATCTTCCCCTATCTAAGGTACGTATCACTTTCCACTTTTCAGACTGCCACCTCGATTCAGATAGACTACGGTCGAGACAATTTCTGGGCTTATCTCGGTCCCCACTGGAATTACCCACTTTTGTCTCCACCGCTGCCTTAAAAGGAGAGCATCTCTTCTTCATATTTCCGCGGAGCTCGTTGTCAGCCCTCAGTATTTTCGTCTGTCAGTCTGGCTTCGTCTGAAGCACGATCTGTCTCTTCCAAGCACCCGGAAGATTCTGAAGGCGTCATTATCCAGGAGACTGTCCAATGAGGTGCAATTCGGTTATCAACACCTCCGGCTCATCTTCGCCCATAGCTTGACCTACCAAGGATCTCGCACGGGTTCTTCGTTCCTGGTTCCATGTTCTTGCAGCCATTCCGTCGTTCAGTCGGGATCAGCAAATACCAATACAGACGCTATCAAGTGTCCTGATATCAGAGCGGTCTCAACAGGGAAACGATGACTCCAGATTTGGCTCTTATCGAACCCTTATCTCTGCAGTGCATTGACTGGCACGCGGGCTAGCTATCCTGTAGCCCTTTTCAGACCTCTATCAGATATCTAATTATATCAGACACTTTCTGACTCAAAAATGGAGTATCAAGGTGTTGGACCGATGACTGTCCAATAGTATGACTCTTATTGTCAGGAACTACACCCTGGGAAAAAGTAAGTAAATCGTCCAATTAACCTGGGGAGATAGGGTTGACATTATCTTTTCTCATCTTTGCTTATCCGTTACGAATATCAAAAGAACAGCAGCTCCCTGAGATCTAATCTATACGGAGGATATGCCTCCGTCATAGGCCATGTAGCGACATGGTCTCGAAGCAGTGCACAACTCCTAGGAGATAGCTGATGCTTTAGGCTTGCCATACAAGACAATCAAGATATCTCAGCGCTTACGTCGTTTGTTTTTCTCGTACGCCTTTCACTGCTCTCAGGCATCATCTTATATAGCCGTTGCTCCTGTCCATGACAGTCCGCCGTACATATCTAGACAAAACCAAGCTTCCTATACATCCTCAGAAAGCTACTTCAATACTCTACTCGTCTTGAAATAACTAGTGGCTCACTGCGCACTCAATCGGTCCATATTTACTGTCAGTTTTGTCTACTCTCGGTTGTACGCCGACCAACTACCAGAGGAGGCACTTCGGGCAACGATGGACTCAATCAAAGCCCTTGTCGTCTCGCCGGAAATCAACCCCAGTAACCGAAAAGCAAGGTCGATACCAGTCCTCAATCCCTTCGACCGGTATGGCCGGGTATTCTTCTTCTCGTGGCTTGGCTTCATGGTTGCATTCCTGTCATGGTATGCATTTCCGCCTCTGGTAAGTCAATGGTGTACTATACAGGAAGCAGTTGGAACCATGGAACAATTGACTGAGAATGGCGGTCTAGTTAACGGTGACAATCCGCAAAGATCTTCATATGACACAGCAACAAGTCGCAAACTCGAACATTGTTGCTCTTCTGGCTACGTAAGGATTGAACGGATAGATCCATCGGAGCCCACCGCTAACAGGCGCAGATTCCTTGTTCGATTCATCGCTGGGCCGCTATGTGACCGCTTTGGGCCTCGACTTGTTTTCATCGGCCTCTTGCTTTGTGGCTCTATTCCTACAGCTATGGCTGGTTTGGTGACCACCCCTAATGGTTTAATCGCGCTGCGTTTCTTCGTTGGCATTCTTGGTGGTACATTTGTCCCGTGCCAAGTATGGTGCACAGGTTTCTTCGATAAGAACATTGTGGGAACTGCCAACTCTCTGGCCGCAGGCTGGGGTAATGCTGGAGGTGGAATCACATAGTAAGCCGCTCCCCAGGATAGATCTACTGTCCGTGGGTCTCGCTGACATTTTTCCTCGCAGTTTCGTCATGCCTGCCATCTACGACTCGCTTATTCACTCTCAAGGCCTCGCACCGCATAAAGCATGGCGCGTTGCGTACATTGTCCCATTCATAATCATCGTCGTCCTGGCTCTCTGCATGCTGTTCATATGCGAGGATACCCCTACTGGCAAATGGTCGGAGCGCCACATCTGGATGAAGGAGAGCAATGAATCCCAAGCCAATATCATCAACCTCATGTCGGGCAGCCCCTCTAACCGACCATCTGGTCCTCCGTCTATCAATCTATCCACTCCTCAATCGGAGAAGAAGGGTGTCCAGACACCTCAGATGGTCGATCCTGAAGCTCAAGTTGTTGGACAGGTTGATATTCTCAGAACAGACATTGTGGTGGCCCCTAGCCGCAAGGAGGTCATGGACGTCCTCCTCAGTCTCTCCACGGCCGCTGTTGCCATCCCATATGCCTGTTCCTTTGGATCTGAGCTCGCTATCAACTCCATTCTGGGCGAATTCTATTCCAAGAACTTCCCCGACTTGGGCCAAACCGAGTCTGGCCGCTGGGCAGCTATGTTCGGTCTTCTCAACGTCGTTTTCCGTCCTGCTGGTGGTTTCATTGCAGACATGCTGTACAAGTACACAGGGGCCGTGTGGTCGAAGAAACTTCTCCTTTCCTTCCTTGGTGTTGTCATGGGTGCTTTTCAACTGGCAATTGGCCTCACCAATCCCGGATCCAAAGCAACCATGTTCGGTCTCACTGCCGGACTAGCATTCTTCCTAGAGGCTTGCAATGGCGCCAACTTTGCCGTCGTACCTCATGTTCATCCCTTCGCGAATGGTAAGATACCTCTCTTCCGTCCTTTCCCTGAAGTTCCACTTACTAAACGATCTGTCTCTGCAGGTGTCGTCTCCGGTGCTGTGGGTGGCATGGGAAACCTTGGTGGAATCATCTTCGCCATCATCTTCCGATACAATGGGACGCACTACAGCCAGTCCCTCTGGATTATCGGCGTGATTTCCATCGCCGCCAACCTGGCCGTTTCGTGGATTCGACCAGTACCGAAATCCCAGATGATGCGGCAGTGACCACAATACGAACTGTTACGATAGAACCTCCTACATGATTTCTCGACTTGCATTTGGGATACCCTGGATGTGATCAGCGATACATAAATCGGCGTTTGGGATGCATTCTGCTTTGGGACATACATATCATCAGGGGAAAATTAATAGTCTTAATGAAGTTTTCATGATCCTCAAACAAGCGCATTCTACCTTCCAAAGACCTCACGCCTAAATATAACCTTATCGATCTCTAATAATCACCATAAGAGTCCCGCAATTGTACATCCCCACATAATCTAATAATCTCGGGTCAAAGCACCCCGAGCGGAATCCTACCCCATATCCCCAAAGAGGGGCATCACAATCAGAACAGATCAACAAATTCCTTCTCCATCCTTCCCAATATCAATAGCCTAGCATCGCATAGATACATCATCTCACCTCGACCGAGACGGCGCCATCTCAGCAGCCCAAAAATGGCACCAGTCCGCCGCATCGCGCAAATCGTCCATCTGAAGCCCTCCGCCGTCGAGGCCTACAAAGAATGCCACGCGAACGTGTGGCCCGAGGTCCTGCAGCAGATCAAGGATTGCAATATCAGGAACTGTGCGTAGAAGCTTTCCAGATGCGGAGAGATTAGAGATTCTCGGGGCTTTACTGATTAAGTGATTATGTAGACTCGATATTCTTCGACAATGAGCGCACGTTATTTGCGACGTTCAAGTATGTCGGTGACGACTATGAGGCCGATATGGAGAAGATGAGGGCGAATCCGAAAGTGCGCGAGTGGTGGGCGATGACTGATGGGATGCAGGTATGCTGGTTCAGCTGACGGACATTACGAACTTGGACAACTGGACGATGCTGATGTGTTCTTACGTGCAGGAGAGTCCCATTCCTGGCGCTGTGGGCAGTGCAGAGGGCCCTGGGTGGTGGAAGGTCCTGGACGAAGTCTTTTACACCGATTGAATTTTGGATTAGATGGCCAGCATAATAATAATTACTGATAAGAGCCTTACTTTGGTGAGTCATGTAAGATATTGATAACCCAGAGCTGGAAGGATCCTACGCTTCGACTCGAGGTCAATTGGAAATGGTACAAGGCTGCAATTACTGCTGCTAGCAGCAGATAGGCAAATGGATTGAATTCAAGCAAAGCGCCTGTCGCTTTAGGATGCTCAAGAGTCAAGATGGTTTCCAAAATCATGGATATCAACCAGGATTCTCCAGATTTCCAGAAATCCAGACACTGAACGACCATCGCCGGCAAAGCTAAGATTGAACGAACGAAGAGACCGTAGAGATAAGCATTGCAGAGATGGGTATCTTCGCCAGGAAATTCCGCAGCCACCCAAGATTTGCTCCCAAGAACGCCTTATCCATC